TATATATATATATATATGAAGAAATTCAAGGTTGTTTAATGATATGAAGGAAACACTTATAATGTTAAGTGAACAAAGCAAGACTTGAAAACTAGAGATAAACCCCATTCTCCTTTTCAAGGGATATCCTTTCTAGTAAGTTCAAACTTTCAAATGGTCATGGCTGATTAAAGAGAGAATGGATTGCTCCAGAGATAGTAAGCTCCCTACCGGTGGGGGAGTTCAAGGAAGAGTCTTAGTAAGGAGCATGGTTGGGGTGGAGATCAAAGCATTAGGGATTGGATGAGAGGATCTTTCGGTCTTTCAAACTGAGCCACCATTCCCACGATACAGTGCCTGACCCTGAGACCTGGGCTGGACAAAATATGGCCGCTGTTAGAAAATAAATGTATCCAGGAATGATTTCCCTGCTTTTTATGCAAACACTGAGGGAGCAGTAACTGAACAGTGTCATTATTACAAAATTAATGTGTGCTTAAGGCAGGCTGGGAAACACAGTTGCAGAGGCACATTTACACATGATCTACATGGTTTTTAAGTTGTAGGGAGAGCATTTGAGAATTAAAACAGAAGACTCATTTTCCAACCCTGAGCCTGTGGTATCTGGGCAGAGAAAACATTCCAAAGCTTTGAAGGTGATTAGTATCCATTTCCTTTTTAAAACTGCCCAAAAGCCCCGAGCCCAGTGAACTCTGGTTCCCAGAGTGCTGGACAACACCTGTGGGCCCATAGCATTATGGGAAAAAGTGGGGATGAATTCTCTCAATGGGGACGGAAGTTGAGGCCCGTCTATTGTCTGGCAAGTGTCCAGGCTTTCTGGAAAAGGTGCTTCCCAAGCTGAGTCTTGAGAAGGTGTTATCTGGAAAGAGGGCGGTGACAGAAAACAGTGTGCCTGAAGGCATGAACTGTCAGGATCCAGGAGAAAGCTCAGCCCAGCTGCAGTGCTGTGTGGCGTGTGGAGGCTCAGGAGGTGAGCATGGAGAGGTCAGTGAGGGCCAGATCACCCGCCTTGTCTGGCCAGCTGAGAAGCTTAGCAATGGTGGAAACCAGGCTTGGTGCTGGTAGCTCAGGCCTGCATTGCTGTGTGACAGGCAGACGCTTTAAATGTGGAGGGGAAGGGGACAGCATATACCCACAGGGGAGCCAGAGGATACGTCTGCAGAAAGTCCTTCCCGGTTCTCCATTCTTCCTTTCAGCACCTCCCCGCCCCACCCTCCCAACAAAATGCAAGGTTTGTGTTGTGTTCACCAGAGCATATCGCCCCCTTGTGGAAAGTTCAGGGATTACAGGTCTAGAAATGACATTGTTCCTCGTTCATTCATTAGTTCAATAAATATTTTCTAAGAATTCAAATGAGCCACAGTGCTGGGATAAGGCGTTCTCGGTCAGGAGGAAAGAAGAGAAGTGAATACAGATGACCATTGAATGCTCAGAGGTGTGAGTCAGCCTGAAGCAATGGGGTCGGAGAGCTAAGTCAGGGAAGGCTTCACAGAGGTGAAAGTTGAGCTGAGTCAGGTAGGGAGAAGGGCTCATTAGCGACCACCTCTGACATCCTCACCTTACAGTGGGGCTTACCGCAGCCCGGCATAGGAAGGGACTTGCTCCATGTCACATAGCTCTTCAGGGCAGAGCGGGGTGGGTTTCTGGGTGTCCCAGCCCAGGGATGGCCTGGGCTTCAGTTTAATTTCCTTCAGTTTAAATGGGTCCCCTCCTGGGCCTCTGCAGGGACCTGTCTGTCCCCGTGCAGCCCCATCCCAGCAATTTGCCTAACCTGCCTTCTGGTGCCGTAATGTCTTCCTTCATTGTCTGTATTTCATCTGTGGTAAGTTGAAAAGTACCAAAACCCTCCCCAGGGAGGACATTGTGCTTAAGACGAGGATACAAGGTGTGCCCCTAGCATGTCTATCCTCAGCGACTAGCATACTTTTTCTTCTTTTCTTTATTTTATTGGGGAACAGTGTGTTTTTCCAGGATCCATCAGCTCCAAGTCAAGTAGTTTCCATCTAGTTGTGGAGGGCACACACAGCTCAGTGGCCTATGCAGGGATCGAACCGGCAACCTTGGTGTTATGAGCACTGTACTCTAACCACCTGAGCTAAGTAGCCGCCCCACTAGCATACTTCTTGGCACACAGGTGCTTCGTACATATTTGTGACATGGATGAATGAGTGAGGGGAAGGGAGGTGGATGGCACCTGAGGGACCTCCTGTGAACCTTCCCAGAATTGAGTCTAATCTGGAAAGATAAAATGGGACCAGGTCACAAAGGTCACTGAATGCACCGCTAAGGAGTTTGTCTTTATTCTGCCAGCAGGGGGTGTCAGCCCTGTTTGTGACCGAGTTGGGACAGGATCTGAATATAGATTAGTTTCATTCTTCAAAGAGAGGAAAAATGTTCTTACTCAATGGTCATACCCACCCAGAAAGTCTTTGATATTACTTAATGGAGAAATTGCACTAGGTCTTCCAGGTATGTGGATTCTTTTGTTTCTAAGTTTAATAATTAAGCCCTTTGTCTATAGAATAAATAGAGGCTGTCCTGTGATAAGCTCCCAACACTGGGGAGATAAGCACGGCCTTTGTGATGAAATGCTGTTTCCTTCTGTCATATCACCGGAACTCTGAACCCTGCTGAGCACAGGGCTCAAGCACAGTCACCCTTCCTAACCTGGGTTCCAGTGTAGTCACTCGTCTCTTTTCCTTACTCCCTGCCAGCTGACTGCAGCACCATTATATGGCTCCTGGAAAGAGGTCTTTAGTGGAGTGCTATAAGGCTCTGCTCTAGTCAGTGTTTTATTAGTTAGATGAATTCAGCAAAAGTATTCAAATGCCCCAAAGCTCCAATTAATATATATTGGATAGGAGAGGCAATGTTCAAAAATGCTTGCATAGGTTAGAATGGTAGAGAGAAATCAACTGTTGAAATAATTCTCCAGATACATGTTAAGTTTTACGTTTGGATTCAGCACTAAAATGAGAAAGTGTGAGAGGGAAAATGAAATTTATCACACAGGGTTGA